AATTAATCTTATTTTGATTAGTTGATTGGTATACAAATAGTTGTTGATAAATCAATTTCTTTTTTTACAAAATTGTTACTTAGTGAAAGTGATGTTTGTATAATTTGTCTCCTAAGAAAGTACTTCCATTGCTTAATCCTATAGACAACAAAAGAAGAATAAAACCAATAAATATAAATTTAAAGCAAAATTTCCCACATAATGGGGCAAGGACCACTAGCTAGTTATATCTATTTATGTTTTCAACGAAGCCACGCCAAACGCAGCATGTCCACTAGTTAAGAAAAGCCCAAATAATTGTTTTGGGAAATTGACGTTTATGAGTTTCTAGATCGTGCTTGGCTTTTTTCTGCTATTTTCTTCTTAGATTCAATTGAACCTTAATTTCACACTTTAACTGGAAATTTCAAACTTTAGTTATCGGAAAATCATAGTGTAAGGACAGGTCCGAGGTGTCAAGCCTTGAATTGCTACAGTAATTCCTTTATGACCGAAGTGAGAAATGAATCCAAAACTCCCTGCTCAAATAGCTGCATGACAATGACAATAAGCATGCTCGCACCTGATTCCTTATGACGAGTGGCACAACAAGTATGGTGGACATCTTTGCATCTGAATACCTCTCAAATTCTCGGTCCCGAAATAATCGTCTGGATAGACACGTCAGGCTTCGATTGTCCTGCTAAGCAAGCCACGTGGATACCTCACAAAGGTCTATAAATACCCCCAGGGACCACCTCAGAAAGGTAATTGAAACCAACCCTAAACTCTTTTTATCTCCGCTCTAAAGGTAGCCCCGATTATTGCTAACTTAAGTATCGGAGTGTTTACCTCGAGTTCCACCTCGGAACTTTGCGGGACTATGCAGGTCTTCCCGGAGTGCAAGCGCGGACTGAAGAAGGATTCCTGGTTTGGTGCAATTACACATAGTCTTTCACCCAAATTGTTCTGAGAAAACCTTTATGTTTTTCCTGTAGTATGTGGGTATTGTAATAGAAAATTTTACTGTGCGTGCAGTATTTTTTTTTAGTGCATGTAGTATATAAATGTTTATTATAATGGAAAATTTTCCCCTAGCATGTGGGTATTATATTAGAAAAATGAAAGACCGGCTCAGCTTCCTTCAATCTTCTTAAGTTACCCAAAATTACTATTCTTAATTTAATATTTTTCAACAATCGGAAAATCATGTTCATAAATAAAAAGAAAAAAAATCCGAAAAATTCATAATTATTTATCCAAAGTTAGCAATGCATACAGCATTTTGGTTTGGACTGTGAGAAAGTCTCTGGATCAATTTTCGTAAACCTTCAACAATCTCTATAATTAACCTATATATGATATTTTAAAAAATTAATTTTTTAAATATTAATTTAAAATTTAAATTTAACTTACAAAATAATTTACTTATTAACAAATTCAACTCTTAATCCTAACATTCTTACATCATTTAGAAACTATAGCATTGTAACATTAATTGTAATAATATCATGCACATAATATTATAATTATATCATTTTTGTTATTTTTAATGCTAGAATTGTTTATGGGAAATTGATGTTTATCAGTTTATAGATGGTGCCTGGTTTTTTCTGCTATTCTCTTCTTAGGTCAATTGAACCTTAATTTTACATTTTAATTCGAAATTCAAACTTAGTTTTAGGAAACTCATAGTTATTTACCCAAAAGTAAATAATGTTTACAACATTTTTTGGTTTCATTTATCAAGATGTCCATGGTTAGTGTTTGTATCTTGAGAATAATTTTTTTCTGAATGATTTTAAGTTTGTAATCTCATGTTGATTTATTATATTTTAAAAAATGAATTTACATAAATATTAGCTTAATAATTTAAATCTTATACTTTACTTATAAAATGGTATTTATTTACCATCAATTCAACCATTGAATTTTAGAAACTAACCTCATCTTAAAAAATAACAACACTACAGCATTTTTGCCATTTAGCTATGGACAAAAACCATAGATATATGATAAAAATCTGTAGGTATATGCATCTCAAGACTTATACCTATGGTAAAAAAAGTGTAAGTATATGTCCCGTAACTATAGATATCTAACTACACTTTTGTACATATTCTTACACTTCTACGTTTTGTAGGTAAAGGTTTAGTGAGTCTATACCTACATCTAAAATACCATAAGTAAAGAGAAATACCTACGCTTATGAGCCATAGGTAAATATTAATAACAACAAAATAGTAGTTACGATATTACCTTTTAGCTTTACTATTTGTCGTTGCCAAAAGTATTATTTAACAACACCATAAATTGTTACCAAAAGTTATATTTTGCAACAATTATAATTATTTTT